CACAACTCTCTACTTTTAATATCCGGGGCTTAGGACGTGGCAATGAGAGTATTCTCAAACCAGCCATATTAATCGCAGAAAATAATATTTTTTGGTTTTAGCTCTCCACACTCTTTATAAATATCTACCTTTCTCATAATCATTGCAAGTCTAGTAATATTCAATTTTTGATAATTTTTAAAACCATATTATTGTCCTTGGTAATATTTAGCACCTCACCCTAAAAACAAGTCCTTATCAGCATATGATCCATCTCTTTTATAACTTTTATGACAATCTTTTTATGAAACCAGTCATACTGTCCTACGTTAAATTTTGATTAACTAAAGAATCTTAATTTATCTCAACAAGTTTTTCTAAAAGATAAATTTTTCCGTATTTCAAATTTCACCATCCCATTAATAGTTAATTTTTTATTTTGATTATTTTTCTTTTTTCATAAAACATACATCCCTAATTACTGCTCTTGTTGCGTGGTCAAACTCTCTTTTTTTGCCCATCTGTCAATCTTTATAAAAACATTTTTTACTCTTTTTATTTAGTTTCTTATAGTTAATTAGTAATTATTAATCCCTTAAGCAAATTTTTTTGTTACCTTAGTCAAAATCCAAAACAATTACATATCAAATCTAATCTTATTTTAAATCTTGTGCATAGCCGAGTTCATTCACGGGGCCAAAGTCAACGTACAACCGGCTTGAGCCTGGTCTAGGCTGGAGTTGACTGTTATAAGACAGGGAACTTCAGTAGATACGAGTACTAATGAAGATTAGGGTGTATTATTGTGCCAATTTCTGTGCTCACTTTTTTTTTTAATTACAAATGCTCCAGTGATGCCATCTAACTATATTGTCGACGATCATGCCGTTTCTTATCGGTAAATTTACGTACATAAGATGGAATTCTTATGTATATATTTATCTCACACCAAAACTCTCACTTTACGTATGCATGAAAAGATGGATTTGACTTGTGAACGGTGATAATTAGTGATAGTTTTGATGTGAGAGGAAAGAATTGAGTGGTATGCAGGTAAATGTGAAGATATGTGTGTGAGATATGTAAATACAGAAGAATTGCGAGCTATTTATGTACATGCTTATTTTTTATTTTATATCAATGAAGTACTTATTTTGTTTTTATTTCAATTCAGGCTGAAAGTGCATCGGATATGGTATCCATGACAGTTGCAGTTCCTACCTTGGAACACAGAGAAGAAACTTATGATCCTTTAGTCATTCCCAGTGCTGACAAGTTAAGTATCTTATTTTATCTTCAGCCGTACTTTCATTTTTTAGCTTCAAATCCTAAAAATTCTGATTTCTCTCATGAAAAGCTTCCCATATCCAATTACTGTCTAAAGAAAGGACGAAGTTGTGGCAGAATTAAATTGGTTCAGGTTTAATGGGCTGAGGCAATACTTTCATTTTATAGCTTCAGATCCTATAAATTATGATTTCTCTCATGAAAAGCTTCTCTTATCCAATTACTGTCTAAAGAAAGGACGAAATTGTGGTAGAATTAAATTGGTTCAGGTTTAATGGGCTGAGGCACTAAAATTGAACCATTTAAAAAAGGGGCATTTACATACATACCACTCCATTCATATGTATTTACATTTATACTACCCAATTCTTTCACGTAACATAAAAAAACACCACTATTTTAACTTTTAAAATGTGAAATACACCTTTGCATGCATAGGTAAGATGGCATATATGCAAAAAAAAATGAAGTTTAGGTGTTAAATATGTAAATACATAAGAATTGAGTGGTATTTATGTAAATATTCCTTATAAAAAAAAGAACTAGGACTGAAATGAACACACCTGAAAACATCAGGGGAATATTCTGATCCTGTTTCCTTTTCATAATATATTTTAATTGCAAATTTCAATCATTTCAGGTTAAATTCTGCTTACTTTGCTGTTCATGGAAATGTCATATTGGGACGGACCTTATGGTTGAGAAACTCATCACTATCTCAACAGACATAGCTTTGCATTCTCTTCCCCCACCTTCAATTCCTTATCAAACGTTGACCTTTTGTTGGTTGACCTACTTTTGCTCTTTAAATTTCTTTTCCTATTTCTTGTTAGATCTTGACATTTCTGTGGGCTGAGGGCACAGTACAGAATTTCTCAATAACACAATGTAAATACTTTTTTTGATTGGCGGTTTCATGGAAATGTGACCTTATGGTTGATGAACTCAACCACCAGCTCAACTTTTTCGTATTACAAATTGGCATTTGTCTGGGTTGAGGGTGGTACATAATTCTCAGATTGGTGTTTGAAAAAGTTTTGTTGAATCTGTGAGCTTCAAATGTAATTAGAATTTTGGGGCATTTACATACATACCACCCAATTGCTATGTATTCACATATCTAACATCTAAACTTACTATTACATTTATACCACCAATGTCACTATTTAATTTTTCTTTTAATGAAATTTATCTTCCATTCTAAAGTAAGGTGGTATATATATAAAAATTGGAGCTTGGGTGTTAAATGTGTAATTACATAGGAATTATGAGTGGTAAATCTTCTTAGAGTCTTTTGTGGTCATTTAATTCTTTTATATGGGATTCTGAAAATTGAATTAATGAACTTTATGAACTGTTTCAGATCCATGCAGTGATCATATAAATTCGATTAAGTTTGTGAAGCTCAATATATGATCATTTAATATTAGGAGCATTAAAGTAGCTTATTAATAATTTGATTAAAAAATAAATAAATAATGGTTGATTGATTTGTTTTTTCAAACTATTATTTAAGTTTTTTTAATATATTTTTATATTTGAAAATTTATCTATGTTAGTAAAAGCACATGTTAAAAATGATTGCGAGTCTTGAAGTGATCCATCAGATTTGAGCTTATGGAACCCTTTATGAGTCTTGAAGTGATCTTATGGTGTAGAGATTAGACAAGTTGTTGAATTGAATGATCATGATTAATCATACTTACAAGGGAATGCTATTAAGGACACAAATAGTCTCCTAACAAAGAAAGTCTCAAGAAATCAAAGAAAGTGAAAGGCCGAAGGACTAAAAAGTTATCATAGGTGAAGTAAAATAAACCAAAAGGATTTAGAAAAAGTGGGTTTTTATATGTTACTTTTTATATGTTGGGTTTATTAGACTGAATTGGCTGGAAATAAAATGAAGAATCATAAGAGATCAGATTAAGTGTCTACCATTGCGCCCAAAGAAAAAAAGAGTTCAAATCATAGGCATTATTCCAATGTCGAAAATCACTAAGTTGAATGCTGAAAAATTCACAGCGGTGGGTTTATTAGACTGAATTGGTTGGAAATAAAATGAATCATAGAGCATTATTCCAATGTCGAGAATCACTAAGTTGAATGCTGAAAAATTCACAGCGGTATAATAATAAATTAGTATCTTAGTGTAGTATGAGATTCAACACATATAGTTAAAAGAAAATTAACGAGAGGAGACATCAAGATTTTTATGTGGAACACACTTTCCAGTTGAAGTAATACACTGTAATTATGAGTGCATAGGCTTTTCTTTTGAATTAGGGAAGACATAATTACAAAATTGATGTACAATGATATTTTAGCAACAATAGTCGTAACAGACCATAAAGGTCATAGTCTATTACTTTGGAGGCAGTTTTCAACAGTAAATATTGTAAGGGGTGGTTATAACACTAGCTTGTTGTATAGGTCATAGTTGGAAGGTGTGATAATAGTTGGTGACAAAGATTGTTGGTTGTAACTTTAGGAGCATCTACCGACGACAAAGAACATAAATGGAGGATGTAATAACAAAAATTGGTCATGTTGGTCATGGAAGGGAGTTATAATAACATATGTAGACCACATAGGTCGGAGTTGGGATCTGCATGATTTGTGTCATGTAGATCACAGTTGGTCATGTAGGCCGTGGTGGTGAGTTAGAATAACGTCCACAGGGCTTTGAAACCGAAGTTAGGAGCAGTGTGAGCTATGAATCACATACACTATAGTTGGTCACATAGGTCGTAGTGACAAGTTGCAAGGGCATTCGTAAGAGATAAAGACAAGAGTTGAGATCTGTGTGAGTTTTGAGTCACTTAGGCCGCAATTGGTCACCTAGGTCATAATGGTGAGCTCGATAATATCTGTAGGCCAAGGCTAGAGTTGGGAGATGGAATAACATTCATATGCCATAGAGGTCAGAATTTGGAGTTGCATAAGCTATGGACCATGTAGGTAGGCCGTAGTGGTGAGCTGCAATGATGCCAATATGTCATAGAGGTCAAAGTTGAGAATTGCAGGAGCTGTGAGCCACATAGGCCGTAGTGTGAACTACAATCACATATGTATGCCGTAGAACATAGAGTTGAGAGCTTCATGGGCTGTGAGCCACGTAGACCATTATTGATCATGTAACCTGTATTGGTGAGCTGTAATGACATTCAAAGGCTGCAGAGGTCGGTGTTGGGAGATGCAAGAGCTATGAGTTACATATGTCGTAGTGGTGAGCTGTAATGATGCCCGTAAGTAATAGAGGTCGGAGTTGCCAACTGTGTGAGCTATGAGTCACGTAGGTCGTAATGAAGAGTTGCAATAATGTCTGTAAGCCATAGAGGTAGGAGTTGGGAGTTGCACGAGTTTTGAGTCACGTTGTACATAGTTGGTCATGTATGCAATAGTGGTGAGCTGTGAAAATAATTGTAGGCCATAAAGGCTGGAGTTAGGAGCTACAATAATGCTAGCAGCCCACAAAGAACAGAGTTTGAAGTTGCGTAAGCTGTGGACCATGTAAATTGTAGTTAGTCGCGCAGGCTATAGTGGAGGGCCGTAAGAAGTTTCATAGTCCATAGAGCCCAAAGTTGAAAGTTGCATGTGCTGTGAGCCACATAGGCCATAATTGCTCACATACACAATAATGGTGAGCTGCAATAGTTTCTGTAGATAGCGGAGGTCGGAGTTGGTATTTGTCTGAGCTATGAGTAGTGTAGGTCGTAATTAGTCACATATGTTGCAGCAAGGAGTTGCAATAATATTCATTGGGAATTGCAATAATATTCGTAGGCCACAAGGTCCAGTCTGTAGGCTACAGAGGTAAGAGTTGGTAACTACATGAAATGTGAGTCATGTAAGTCGTAGTTTGCCACACAGGTCATAGTGGTGAGCTGCAATAATGCTTATAGACTACAGAGGTCAGAGTTGAGAGCTGCAACAACATCTGTATGCCACAAAGATTGAGTTTGAAGCCGCAATAATGTGCATAAGCCACAAAGACTAGAATAATATTATAATTTGAGGTAAGAGGTGTTTTTATTCCGCTCCCTTTTTATTTTTGAAGGAGTCATTAGAGTGTCTATCGTCGTATGCTTCATCTTTCCAAAAAAGCCTCTCTTTTGGATCAAGTGAATGATCGTGAGAAGTGAGGAAGAATGTGGATAACTTTCATGCTAGATACCTCACTAGGATATGCTAAACATATACATTTGAACATCATACCTAAATAGCTTGTGTCAAATATCCGCGAAATAATGCCTAAGAAAGCTACCCACAACCATAAATTTTGGAGTGTTTGCCAGTTCTGGGGTCCAAAGTGCTCCTAAAGGGACGTTTCTCACTAATTAATTACATATTGGGGGTTCCCCAAGAATGTTCTTGATCTAAGGAGTTTTGCTTACATTAGTAGTCACATCTAGCATAGGACTATCAAAGGACATTTATTTCATAGGGGAATGCTCTGATGCTTTCAAAGCTCCTGCTGAGTCACCAGGTGGAGAATGAGTCTCTCACGGTTCTACATGGGTAACAGACTCACCGACATACACAACCTTCGAAACAACCAAATCATCCTGATGGGAAATCTCGATGCATCAAAGCAATCCAGACCAAAATGGTAGAGAACAATTGGTCGCATCCCAAATGAGCAGCAAATCATCAATAATTGGGTCATCAAGATGATACCAATGAAGGCAAGAGGAGAGACTAGGCTCAAAGTGCGTAGACAAAGGAAGGGTGGAGTAATCTCTAACTGGTAGAGGTAGTTAGGTTGAGGCACCACGAACCAGTCATCCTAAGTCATTAGGACCTTAAGTCTACCTGGTTGTGAACGTAGTTGACCCAACACATCCAAAGTTCCTCAATTAGCAACCTGTGAATTGCATAATTCTCGGGAAACTCGGTAGCCCGGTCAAAGGAACGAAATTTTATCCTATGACTATCAGGTGAAGCTTTAATGGGTGAGACTTATGCATGTCAAAGTGGCGAGGATGTCGCTGGAAATGAAGAGAAGGGGAGGTTCAACTATAAAGTTAGAAAAACTTCCAACAACAATCATATACCTCGTCTGGGTCAGGGAGCCTTCTAACGACCTATGCAACTAGACAACCACCTAAGTAAAATTCAATATCGGGTCAGTCGAGTTGGAGAAGCATGAGGGCTTCTCCTCGGGACATGCAAACGATACATTTTTCTAGAGCATTCCTTGGATATTGTGGAGGCCCTATTATATGATTTAGGTTATGCCCATACTATGAAACCCGTTTTAAAACCGGCTCGAAGGCCATGCAAGATAGTAGAAATCAGGTTTTAAAAAATCATGAATCTCTTGATCCTAAATTTTAATTTATCTTGAAATTTTTATTAGGATTTTTGTAGAAAATTTATAATTTTTAGGTCTTGAATAGCCTAAATTTTAATTTTGGTAGCATCCTAGATACAACCATAAAGAAACATGAGAAACAACCCAAACATGCAATTACGTAGGAAAAGCAGTAGAGCAAGCCAAATAAAATAATAAAAAGACTGGTGTCACTGGATCAACGACATACCCAACAAAAAAAAGGTCATCGGACTCCCCATATACATACTCAATCCTAATTCTATGCATAAATAAAATTTAGAATTAAGGTACGGGATAAGAGCAAACAGCTCATGGTTCCCGTCACGTGGTTCTGCCCGTCTGGCACTGCGGAACCCGTGCCCATATTTTATTTCTAATACAGACTGTTTTTGGGACTCTAAGAGAAACATCAAGAAAAAATTTAAAAAATGGACTGGACCTGCATAAAAATAATGTCAGCAGAAAAATCAAAGAAGTATGCAACATGTCCGTTTTGATATGCCCGAAGAAAAAGTTTAGTAATAATCATTATATTGCTTACTCTTTTTGTTGTATATGTGTGTGTGCATATATGTGACATAACTCTCTACAAATTACTACCTTAATATACTATCATGCATGTCAAAACAGCCACACAAAAGCACACTGAAGAGCACAAAAGTGACGCATGACTAGAGCCAACAACCCGACA